TATATATACACAGTATATAGATATAAATAGGTCACAAACAACCTACTTCCACTGTTTTACAGGTTGCTGATCGTTGGTTTTTCAGCTAATAGCCAATGGAAAGARCTAAACTCTCCACCCAAATGATATCATATTTTCCTGTCAATCTGTATCCTCAGTGAGGCTGCAGCTGATGTGAAAGACTCTGCAGAGAGAGTAAAACAAGCACTGGAAGATGCTCAGAAAGCTCAGACTGCAGCCAGCAACGCCATCCAGCAGGCCACCACCAACATCCAGACCACCAACCATCTGCTCAACTCCGTCAGTACCCACCTGTCACCAGCAGGATCGTTTATCTACTGTTGCCACACGGACACACAACATGTTACATTTGTGTTTGTGTTGTGTTCAGGTACAGTTGGAGACAGCAGATGCAGAACAGAAGCTGAATAATGCCACCCAGAGACTGGAGAGGCTTGAACAGGATGTGATGCTGCTCAGGGAAAAATCTGAGAATGTCACGCTGAGCAACAAGCTGACCAACCAGGACGCTGCGAGCATCGAACAGATCGCAAAGGACCTAAAACAGGTGAGTTCCCCTTTGAGGCTGTTTAGACATAAAAATCTGTTTCAGTCTCTTTGAGTAGATTTGATGTGGAGCGACCCATGGAGATGTAATCAAATCTAACAGTCACTTGAGGTGTTCCTCAGGGGTCAGTCCTTGGTCCCATTTTCAGGTCATCAGCCGTCATGGTTTCTCTTTTCATTGCTATGCCAGTGACACACAGCTTTATGTAAATGGCACAGCTGCAACCATGCCTACATCAACACCATCATCCTTGTCAAAACTCGCCACTAATCTGGAGGAGATAAAGGTATGAATGGAGCACAACTTTCTCCAACTCAACAGCTCCAAAACTGAAGCCATTCTAGTGGGCACGCTTCTTCAGACCCAATCATCACCTTTTACCAGCATCACCTTCTCTAGTTCCAATATTCCTCTTTCATCAGCAGTCACAAATCTCAGTGTAAAAAGGGAACCCCAGCTCTCTTTTAAATCTCATATTAACCACCTCTGCAAGACCTCCTATCGCTTTTAGAACATTTCCCAAATCCGCCCCATTCTCTCCGTCTCAGACACTGAAAAGCCGGTCCATGCTTCTGTCTCCTCCAGACTGGACTACTGCAACAAGCTTCTCATTGGGATTACAAGCAAGAGCCTGCAGAGGCTCCAGTGAATCCCAAACTCTGCAACTAGGATCCTGATGAGAGTGCGCAAACATGAGCACATTACCCTCGTCCTCCACTCTCCTGTGGCTTCCCATCTCCACCAGGATTGAATACATGATTACCTTCCTCACACACCACTACATCTATGGACATGCCCCACTCCTACCTCAGAGACTCCTTAATCCACAAAACACAACTCGCTTGCTCCGCTCTACCCACTCAAACCATGCTGGACACTGCAATCCACTGACTGTTTCAAAAAAGGTCTCAAAACATTTCTTTTCAGCAAATCAAAAAGAAAAATAAGTAGGTCTTCTGGACAGGTTCTTCTTTAATGAAACATTTCGTCTCTCCTCCAAGAGACTTCTTCAGTCTGAGAGTTTCAGGCTAAATTCAGGCTTTTGAGTCCTGCCTCCAGGTGACTGATACTCACATCACATGGCTATCGTTGACACCTAATTAACACTTATTGTTAACAGGGGGTGGAATGATACTGCCTGGATTGCGATGTCTCGGTTTTGGATGGAGGACGGTTGGAAACTGGCGTATATCGTAAGCCCACCCACACAGACC